AAAAAGAGTACGTTATACTAAATAACGGGTGATTTATATGAATAACATCCATCCTGTTACTGTCATTTCTGTTACCATTAATATGGTAACAGTAAGGAAAACTGGACTTCATATCTTGAGTTTTAACAATAAAAACAATTACTTTTATTTTTCTAAGTAATATAAGTTTAATAACACATGTTAAAAAACTTCGTAAATCATATTGAAATATGTTAGTGCTTCAAATAGTGCCATTACTACTTAAACATGCACTCTTGTAACATAATGGACAGAATTTGTAACAGGAGGGACTAATTATCCTGGTATTTATATACCGATTTAAGTTTTATCATTTCTTTTTCTTAAAATTATGAAAAATTCTTAGTTTTGCAACATCATAGAGTACCTTTAATAAACAAAAATTAAAGTGATAAATATTTTAATAGCACTTTACAATTAAATTTCGTAACAGGATGGACATAAATGTCTTATATTGTCTCGAATTTGCCAGATTTGACAAAATCATGTTTCTATTTTACATTTATTTCTCTTTTCCTAACCAATAAAGTTAAAAAAAAGTCAATTTTTATTTCAAATGTAGATTTCATTGTCCATCCTGTTACACTGTTTTGTCCATCCTGTTACTGTTTTGTCCTTTCTGTTACCCGAGTCCTTACTGTTACCAGTATATTTTCCTAGTTTAAATTGCTTTGGAAGAGCACCTGTTTAAATAACTTTCTGTAACTGTTTATTCTAATCACAAAAATAATGTACAAGAATGTTTTTTTTCAACTATAGCATATAAATATTCAGCAATAAGGCTTTTCATGAAGAAAAACCCATAGATTTTGCTTCTGTTTGGTATATGGTAGTTTGACATGCTTTTAAACGCTCATATATTAGATGAATGTCAAACATCTTGGCATTCAATGATATTTTTTTCATTTTTTGACGATATACAAAAGATTATTAGATAAAAATTTTGAAATGGACTTTTACAGCTCTTTTTATGAAAGTAACAGGAAGGACATTAAAATCTAAATGACTAAGATAAAATGTCAATATTTTTTAAAAGAAATATTTTTCTTTTATGCAATGCAGTGGATTTTAGGAGTTTATTACTATATTATTCAAATAAAGTTGAAAAAGTCATAGTAAAACCACTTTCATTTTTCAAAAATATGTCATTTAAAAAGTGGACATTTTTTGAAAATGACCCACCTAACACATATTAAAAAAATGAAGATATATTGAAAGACTTTTAATGAATTAATTTTTTAAAATATATTTTGATCAACATCACAAAATTTATATAACTGGCCCAAGCTGGCAGATGATGAAATAAGCAATTAAATGTTCTACTTTCCTATTTGTAAGCATTATGTGTCCAGTGGTAAGGAGCCTATTAGGATAGCATAAAAAAGAATATACAAATGTTAATAATTGATTTATCAAAAAATTTTTTAGCTCACCTGAGCCGAAGGCTCAAGTGAGCTTTTCTGATCACATTTTGTCCGGCGTCCGTCTGTCCGTCCGTCTGTCTGTCTGTCTGTCCGTAAACTTTTCACATTTTCGACTTCTTCTCAAGAACCGCTGGGCCAATTTCAACCAAACTTGCCACAAAGCATCCTTGGGTGAAGGGGATTCAAGTTTGTTCAAATAAAGGGCCATGCCCTTATTCAAGGGGAGATAATTGAGAATTAGTGAAAATTTGGTGGTATGTTTTGAAAATCTTTTTCTTAAGAACCACTGTGCCAGGAAAGTTGAAACTTATGGGGAAACATCCTCAGGTAGTGTAGATTCAAGTTTGTTCAAATCATGTCCCCCGGGGGTAGGGCGGGGCCACAATGGCCGACCAAAGTTTTATATAGAAATATATAGGAAAATTCTTTAAAAATCTTCTTCTCAAGAACAGCAGAGCCATAATTGCTCATATTTATATGGAAGCATCCTCAGGTAGTGTAGATTCAAGTTTGTTCAAATCATGTCCCTCGGGGGTAGGGCGGGGCCACAATGGCCGACCAAAGTTTTATATAGAAATATATAGGAAAATTCTTTAAAAATCTTCTTCTCAAGAACAGCAGAGCCATAATTGCTCATATTTATATGGAAGCATCCCCAGGTAGTGTAGATTCAAGTTTGTTCAAATCATGACCCCCGGGGGTAGGGCGGGGCCACAATGGCCAACCAAAGTTTTATATAGAAATATATAGGAAAATTCTTTAAAAATCTTCATCTCAAGAATAGCAAAGCCATAATTGCTCATATTTATATGGAAGCATCCTCAGGTAGTGTAGATTCAAGTTTGTTCAAATCATGACCCCCGGGGGTAGGGCGGGGCCAAACTTTTGGATTCAAACTTTTCAATAGTAAACCAATTACTACTTTTTCCTAGCCACAATGCTCGGGTGAGTGATGTGGCCCATGGGCCTCTTGTTTTATTTCCTTCTCCTTCGGGACTTTTTTATTCTCATGTTCATTACTAAACCTAAACATAAAAAAATGCTGGCCTTATAATGAAGAAAGGGGCCTTTTTCAAAAATAGATAATTTCAGGGCCGCTGGGTCAGGGGTACCAGGGGGTTAATTGGACTAAAAATAAATTAGTGCTTTGAAATCTGCCCTTTGATAAGCAATCTTTCAAAATTTGTGAATTTCATGGCTTTTGGATTAAAACACGAACCAAATACAATCGCTGGAAAGTTGTTACATAATACTCAGGTGACCTATAAGGCCCGTGGGCCTCTTGTTTACCATAGTTTTTATAAGTGAAGTTCTTAGTCCGGGGCAGGGTTCTGTTCTAATGATATGGCCAAGATGGTCCTAAAATGAAAAAAAAAATGATTTTAATTTTTAGCTCACCTCGACGAAGTCGAGATGAGCTTATGCTATACCCCCTATAGCTATCTGACCTACATTTTCTAGATGAGTGACCAGGTTAAAGTTTTTGGAGCAGGTTAAAGTTTTTGGAGCAGGTCCATTCCCTAATAACTATAACCCTACCTAAGCCAAACTTGCATAGGTGATGCATCTAAGGATGGACATTACCAGACTTGCTTCAGATGCTGGATCTGACCTTCATTTTCTAGATGAGTGACCAGATTAAAGTTTTAGGAGCAGGTTAAAGTTTTTTGAGCAGGTCCATTCCCAGGGAACTATAAGCCCTACCCGGACCAAACTTGCATGGATGATGCATCTAGGGATGTACACAACCAGACTTGCTTCAGATGCTGGATCTGACCTACATTTTCCAGATTAGTGACCAGGTTAAAGTTTTTGGAGCAGGTCTATTCCCAAGGAACTATAAGCCCTACCTGGACCAAACTTGCATGGATGATGCATCTAGGAAAGGACACTACAAAACTTGCTTCAGATGCTGGATGACCTACATTTTCATTCCCAAGTAACTATAAGCCCTACCTGAACCAAACTTGCATGGATGATGCATCTAGGGATGTACACTACCAGACTTGCTTCAGATGCTGGATCTGACCTACATTTTCATTCCCAAGTAACTATAAGCCCTATTTGGACCAAAATTGCATGGATGATGCATCTAGGGATGGACACTACCAGACTTGCTGCGGATGCTGGATCTGATCTACATTTTCATTCCCAAGTAACTATAAGCCTTTACCTGAACCAAACTTGCATTGATGATGTATCTAGGGATGGACACTACCAGACTTGCTTCGGGTGCTGAATCTGACCTACATTTTTATTCCCAAGTATCTATAAGCCCTAGCTAAACCAAACTTGCATGGATGATGTATCTAGGGATGGACACTACCAGACTTGTTTCATATGCTGGATCTGACCTACATTTTCATTCCCAAGTAAATAAAAGCCCTAGCTAAACCAAACCTTCATGGACGATGTATCTAGGGATGGACACTACCAGACTTACATCAGATGCTGGATCTGACCTACATTTTCATTCCCAAGTAACTATAAGCCCTAGCTAAACCAAACCTGCATGGACGATGCATCTAAGGATGGACACTATCAGACTAGTTTCGGATGCTGGATCTGACCTAACATTTCCATACAAGAGACCAGGTTAAAGTTTTGGGAACAGATCAATTAGAATGAACTTGAAGTCATTGATATCTGCAGTATTAACAGTTATGAATATTTGTTTACACTATACATGTTTTTCACGCTACACGCGTAGAAATGTGTATATGCCATGTAAGGGGTTAAACACAACTTGCAAGAATATTGTTGTTGGGATGAATACTAAATATTAAGAAAATATGATGTGAGATTTGCATTACTTAAACTGATAACATTCGTCGAGGTGAGCTTCGTAATCTTTGATTACCTTTGTTTCTCTCTCTCTCTATATATATATATTTAAGAAATAAGGTATTTTTTGAGTGTTATTGAGATGTAAAACGGGTTTGTCACGTGATCAAATCCCATAAAGCCCGAAGGGCTTTATGGAAGATTTGATCATGTGTCAACACGTTTTACATCCCAATAAAACTCAAAAAATGAAACCTTATTACTTATATTTACATTTGTGACTTATTCATACTTTAAATTTGCCTGATTGTGACTTTTAACATGTGAAATGCATTATTTTTCAAACCCAACGGCATGTATGTAATCCACTAAACGCGCGTCGACCCTTCATGGCGTCACTGATAAATTACGTCGAACGTTTATCCATACGAACATCTATGACCTCTTGACCCCGTACCTGTATTTATACAGTTATAAAAACGCTTGCTTTCAGTAGTGTTATATAAAGGAAAACATTTGCAAATGTAAATATATACATGTATATACTTATGACTATGTCTTTATTACATGTATGCAAAGTTTATGGAAGGTAATGGTGGTAGATAATACAAAGAATATAATAATAATATAGATGATAGTATATAGATGCTAATGGTATAGATAATGTCACCAATTAAATATGATGAAGAAAATCGTGCTAAAAATGCAATGAATGCATAAGGCATTGTTTTTTGGGTTGACCTTTTAAAATTAAATATGCTGTTTATTTCAAAGGGGTAGATGATTACCAAACACCTATGGAAACATGTGCTCGGAACCTTTTCAAGGCTGTAAAAGCAACACGCTCTTCACTGATTTATCTCAAAGAAATCTGCCTTGTTGTGAAAGAAGAGGCTGCCGAGAAAGCATACCTGGATGCATTTGAAGAAGGAGGTTTTCAAGTTATACCCAAATCTTTCTCTGAGGCATCCGAACCAGGGAGCAAAACAGATTGGGGCAAAACAATAAAACCTTCAGACTTGCCGCAAGAACAGGAGAACTGCTGTGTGTGTATGGATACACCCACAAATCCAAAACGATTGGGAAAATGTGGCCACATCTTCTGCAAAGAATGTATTGAGCAGTATTTTCAGTACAAGCCAGTCTGTCCTAGTTGTGGTCAGATTTATGGGAAAATGAAGGGGGATCAACCTCCAGGGACAATATTAATGAGAAAAACTTACCAAAGATTAGAGGGTTTCAATGATTGCAGTAGCTGTATTATTGTGACATACACATTTCAAGATGGATCTCAGGGGGTGAGGTTCTTTGTATCTAAACTTTATCTGATATTTGTCAATTAACTTCACTTTTTATTAAAGATTGAGAAATGATATTTGGGAAGTAAAATATTAATATTTACAGCCTGATCACCCAACCCCTGGTAAGAGGTATAAAGGAATAAGTCGCTCTGGTTATCTCCCTAACAATGAGAGAGGACGTCTGATAGCTAAGTTGCTAAATATAGCATTCAGCAGACAACTAGTCTTTACCATTGGTCGCTCTAGAACTACAGGTCACGATGGTGTTATTACTTGGAATGATATACACCATAAAACTAGAGTTGATGGGGGACCTCAAAAGTATGTAGTTTTTGTTTTGAAAATGCAACACAATAACTTCTACACATATTCAATAATTTTCCATGATAATGAAAAAAGAGAAAAGAAATTCTTAACTTTAAAATCTAGTAATGATTAATTAGACATTCTTTAAAATAGTGTTTGTTTGCCTTTTCTCGACTCAGGATGAAAATAATGGGTCAGTAAGTAGATGGAAAAATCTTCTCCAGGAAATAATAGGAGTAAAACAAGAAAAATATATTGGGTTCTGGAATGTAAAAGAAGTTTTGAGTCCATATTAGCCAGTCAGTCAGAAGAGAGCAAACAATTTTTTAAGATAGCCTTTATAATTCTGATATCAGAGTTCAGATATATTTTGATTTTTACAAATAAAGAAAATGTGTGCTGTCACTGCCAAATGCCAATATGAAACATAATTCAAGTTTGATGTTGTTATAGATATTTATTTCAAACACGTAAAACTTCTAAATATGCCTACATTTTACAGAAATGAGATTCCTTTCATTAATTTTTTTTACAGATTTGGTTATCCAGACAGTACCTACCTTGATCGAGTGTTGGAAGAATTGGCAGCAAAGGGAGTGACTCCAGAGTCAGCTGATGATCCAGAGGAATACAAAGAATATTCCAACTTTGTCAAATACTACAGCAGATAAACAGATTAACACGTATTTGAAAAAAGAATAGTCAAGACTGATCATTATAGTTTTTTAGAATATTACTTGTCATTTCTCAGAAAATTATTTATTTTTACATAGTAGATGAGTGTGATCACTATGAGTTGATTATTTGTTGAAGGAACATGTAAATGGGTTTGTATATCGTATATTAATAGTTCACTTTGTTGTAGAAAATAGTACAGGCTTTAATTACAATTTTCCCATTATATTACTTTACACTTGGATATTTTTCAGTGTGATTAACATGTATTTTATGAGAAAATTATTATTAATACTCTGCAATATGCATAAATTTGTGATCGTGGAGTTTGAATGGGAATCAATATAATCAAAGATCCTTCGATCTGCTTCAATAGATGTAAATTTCTTGACATAGACATGAGCTTGATATATTCCAGAAGAGTCAATGCTTAATTCAGCTGGCACACCACTATTACTTATTGGTATTCAACTACTGGTAAAAAGTGGAATCTGAAATAATGCTGAATGATTTTTTTTAAAAGATGATTTTAGCATCTGTATGTTAATTATTTGTATCCTTGATTGTATAATATCAGTTCTGCAGAGTTTTGATGATAACATATATAGTGTGATTTTAATATTATTATATTATATTTAGTTTGGATTTGTCCCATTTTTAACTATTATTCTGTTAAATATCAAAAGGTTTTCTTTACAAAAAATATTGAATTATCCTATAACTATAGCTTTCTGGTTTATGGTCAGTCACATTTTTTGATGTAGAAAGATTATTCAGTTCATTTAGATTAATTAAAGTTGTCTGGCCACCTCCCTTATTGATTTTTTTGTGAAATATAATGTTTGAATAGATAAAAAATAATCTTGTAAGACTTCTGATTGGCCATATAAATTCATAGAATATTTCAAAGAGAATAGTACAGTAACTGTTTTTCCCATGATGTACATGGATACACTTGAAATGTTTTGTTGTGTTACACCAACTTTTCTTTACAACCAAAATAAATAAATTTAAAAAATGATAAACAAGAGAAAAAGGAATTAATAAAGAAAAGAGAGATTGAATTAAAATATATGAGGGGCGATTGACAAGTCCTGTTCAATTTCATATTAACTATTTCTCAAAAATGGCTGAGCATGATACCATTGAAAAGTGCTGGAAAATTTGCACTCATTTTAACTTTTTTCTCCTTTTCATGACGTGATAACTCAGAAAATGCCCTCCAAATGGTGAATGATTTCTGTGAATTTTATTAGATGGAAAAGTGCTGTTAAACACTACTAATCTGGCTAGAACTGATCATGAACAGATGATTTATTTTCTTAATGTCACCGACAAGATTATTTTCAACATTTTTGAGAACATACCATTTCTAAACTCTAAAGGCTCAACCCCTCAACTATTGTCGTAAATCCTATTCCGTGGGGGTTGGGTGGAGTAGGTTCCAAATTTTTCAGTACTTCTGTACCTTATTTTTTACTTAAAATAAAATATTTTTTGTATCAGGCTTAGTGAAATAGTAAACATGTGAATTTATATCTTTATTTGAATGTCTTCTACTTCAAATATTTTTGTAATGAATTAGGAATGAAATTTGCCTTTGTATACTTATTATCAAGACAGTGTAAAATTTCAACATTGGTCTTTAAAAAAAATGTTTTAAAGAAATTGAACAAAAATTTCTGATGTTATCTACAATATTCATTTCAGATCTTGTTTTGCAGAATATTATGTCAAGCTTTATGGTGTAGGTATTATTTTATAAAGTAATTTATTTATCGCTCAGGATAAACATCCTATGGCATATTACAAATTGTACAATAATATTTACAGAGGAAATTAAGGAAAGCCCACACTTTTACGGATCCGCTTCTAATTTTACACATCAATATAGAATTCTGATTTTCACTTGTCTATTGATATAAAATCTTTTTGGGTGATTGAAATAATTTAGCAAGTATACATTTGTTTATTATAGTGTTATTGTGCATACAAAACATATATCATTTATGGAAATCAACACTTTGCACTCTGTCCATAAGATCTTTACGTCATTTGGTACATACACAGACACAGAATTCTTAATTGCTTTTAAAAATCTAAATCTTTTTAATTTTCTTTTGAAAAAACTAACCTTAGATCTATTTTTTGTGATTAAGAGCCTATACCATCCATTTAATTTTTATTTTTTTAAAATTTTGCAATGAATAATTTAAAATAATTGATATTCCAAAAATTGGGGTATACGTCTTCAAAAGACTGTTTTGTTAAAATTTTCTGGTCAACCATAATAAATTAGATGTTTTTGTTAACATATTAGATATAATTCTTAATAGATTTGAAGAAAAAATGGCATCTAAACAGTTTGGATTTCGAGAATTATAAAAAATAAAGATATTTTGAGATTTTTTTCTGAATGACATGGACAGATTCAACATCAATTTGTTAATGTTTTGCAGTAAAGATTTCAAATATTCTCTCGGAAAATGAATATATTTGATCTTCATAAGTTTTAACATAAATTTGATGTGATTTGGTACATAACTATAAGACAAACATGTTATCACACTTTTTTGTGTTCAAATTTGGCTGTTGAGTTTTTAGAGGTATGTGCGCTTAGACATGTTGTATGAAAATTAACCGGCAAAGATATGTCTTTTATAGGTGTTTTAGTTAGTTTAAGACTTATTCAAGGTATTCAAATTGAAAAATTATCAGTTTGACAGAAAATTCTGAAAGTACGGACCTACCTTAAGTTATAAGAAAGTTTACATAGGAAATTATTATTAAGTTCCAATTGACTATTGGGAATTCAACTTTTTGCCCTATTTGGATTTGTAAAAGTAATTGACTGTAAAAAAAAGAAGACATGTCTGAGACAAAGAAGTTGGGGGGATAAGGTGGACGAAGTGTCTTTAGTGCGACAGATAAAAAGTGAAAAATTAAATCTCAATTATATCCACATTTATTTGATATTTCATCTAATGTTAAAGTATACTTAATGTTAAATCTGTACAATTTACAAAAATCTCATAAACACTTAAAAAGATTTGCCTATGAAAAAGCATACACACACTAAAAAGATCAGAAACGATCATTTTCCCATTCTTTAATTTTGTTTATATGAATGGGAATTCCTCCCTATTTTTGAAAGATAATCCTAAAAGTTTGCAATAAAATATACATTTTTTAGTTTACAAAAACATGGAGCGACGTCCCACTATACTTTAAAGGTACACTTATGGCACAAGATTCGCATCTTTCTGAAAAATATTTCAATTCCATTAAGTCAAGGGTTATATCACAAATATGATTTAAATGCCCGAAAGCATTTTGAGTAATGTAGTATAGTGGTTAGTGCATTAGTCTCAAAGCAGTATGAATGATACTTCAGATTTTTATTGCTAGGGGTTCGAATTCCACGAAAACCATCTAATATTTTTATGAAAGAAAAATTTTTTTTGTGATTTTCTTTTCTCTCAAGAAAAAGTTTTTTTCTCTCATAATTTCATAAATTTCAATAATGAGAAGTTGATTTGAGGTCTTTCCACTCTCACAATTTAATGGTTAAAAGTACAAAAATTGAATTTATTTCCATTTAATAAAGTTAAAATTTACCAATTATTTCCAAATACCGTATGTATATGTCGTATCATAAATATTATGTAAAAACTTATTCAAATGCATAATTATGATGCTGAAAGTTGCTAAATACTTGGTACTTATAAGATACTTTTGAATTGTGAATATCAGGGAAACTATTTCACATTAAAGTACAATGAAGAAAATGCATGAATGAAGATACCTGAGAAAGAATTATTGCCCTTGTCTACATTTTTATCAAGATTGAATAATTAAAGGAAATATGCATTTTTTAAATTCTTTTACTTAACAATATTTATCATTACACCTATGGAAAATCATTCTTCCAAAATATATTGTTCTATTGGGTATGAATTTAATATAATCAAAGTTTTTTTTTTTTTTATAAAAATATCATTACATTATCATTACACCTATGGAAAATCATTCTTCCAAAATATATTGTTCTATTGGGTATGAATTTAATATAATCAAAGTTTATTTTAAATAAAAACCTATGTCATAAAAGGAGGGTGGAATTACCTTAAATACTCAATTCATATACATGTATTGAATATGATATCTTAATATCTGTCGCTATAGGCATTCTGCCGCCTTTTCCCCTTATCATCTTTGAAAAAGTTTTTTTTCACATTATGATCTATGAAAACTGTAAACAATTTTTGCTTTATGCGAAAAATATTCTTGATTGTGCGATTTTTTAATCCGTGAATATTTCCCATTTCAAAAAAGAAAATATACCGTAGAATCCCCATTAACCACCCTGTCCCTGTAAGCGCCCCTCTAGATCTTTTTTAAGTGTAAGGAAATAAGGGCCCCCTTTACAGTAATTAAAATCATCTAGAATTGTATCAAAATTTGAAGAAAGTGACAATGAAACTTATCTACTATCAAATTTCAGTGGAAAATGAATCATTTAGCATAATTTGGGTCAATTATCTTCACTTAAAGTAAAGTTAGACATTATTTTAGTGGTTCTTAGAATTTATTGTTTTTGTCAAAAGATTTTTGAAGTTAAAATATGACATTAAAGTACATTGTATAAGAAAGGGAATACCAAAATAACACGTTTCTAAGCACTCGGGGCGGTTGATAGGGATTATACGGTATATATAAATTTCATCATATGTTTATGCAGAATGTTTCTCACAACGAGAATAATTAAATTTTAAAATAGCTTTAGTGGTCACAGGTTTGCAATCATTTAAACCACATATTTGTTAAATTTTGTGAACTTAATTATTTATATTTCTTTGAAGAGATAATAAGCTTCCATTCATTTATCATTTGAAAACCTAAAGTCGTTGAGTTCCTATCTATTTCGATGATTTTTGTTTTCAATTTATATGCTTTAATGCTGTATATTTTAAAGCATATACCTCTTTGATGATTTGCAAATAAAGATTTGTTTGGAATTAGTTATTTTTATGTTTAAAAGGAATTTATTGTATATGCATGTGAAGGAAAATTCTTGCAAAAGCTCTCCTGTGCGTTTGAATTGATAATAGAACAACAGAATTCATAGTGTTAATTGTACATTTAAATATTTGTAAAGACTAAATATTTATGATGGATGTTGATTTGCTTCCTATTCAGGTGAACTATATCAAAAGTAAATTAAAGGAGAATTTCTGATAAAAATTTGTTCATTGCCAAAGCCTGGTCAAGTAAACTTTCCATCATTACTTTTTATCTCACCTGAGCTGAAAGCTCAAGTGAGCTTTTCTGATCACATTTTGTCCGGGAAACATCCTCAGGTAGTGTAGATTCAAGTTTGTTCAAATCATTACCCCCGGGGGTAGGGTGGGGCCAAAATAACCGACCTAAGTTTAACATAGAAATATATAGGAAAATTCTTTAAAAATCTTCTACTCAAGAATTGCGAAGCAATAATTGATCCTATTCATATGGAAGCATCCTCAGGTAGTGTAGGTTCAAGTTTGTTCAATCATGACCCCCGGGGGTAGGGCGGGGCCAAAATGGCCGACCAAAGTTTTACATAGAAATATATAGGAAAATTCTTTAAACATCTTCTTCTCAAGAATGACAAAGCCATAATTTATCATATTTATATGGAAGCATGCTCAAGTACTGTAGATTCAAATTTGTTCAAATCATGACCCCGAGGGGTAGGGCGGGGCCAAAATGGCCGACCAAAGTTTTTAAAGAGATATATATAGGAAAATTCTTTAAAAATCATTTTCTAAAAAATAGCAAATCCATGATTGGTCATGGGACTACTTTAGGATTTAAACTTTACAATAAATAGCCATTTTCTACTTTTTCCTACCCTTAGTGCTCAGGTGAGCGATTTGGCCCATGGGCCTCTTGTTTCAGCTCACCTGAGCCGAAGGCTCAAGTGAGCTTTGCTGATCACATTTTGTTCATAGTCCGTCCGTCTGTCTGTAAACTTTTCGCATTTCAATTTCTTCTCAAGAACCACTGGGCCAATTTTAAGCAAACTAGGTACAAAGCATCCTTTGGGGATGGGAAGTTTAAATTGTTAAAATAAAGGGCCATGTCCCCTTCCAAGGAGAGATAATCAAGAAAGACAAAAATAGGGTGGGATCATTAAAAAATCTTCTTCTCAAGAACCACTGGGCCAGGAAAGCTGAAACTTATGTGGAAGCATTATGGGTTAGTGTAGATTCTAAATTGTAAAAATCATGACCCCCGGGGGTAGGGCGGGGCCACAATAGGAAATCCAAGTTTTACATAGAAATATATAGAACAAATCTTTAAAAATCTTCTTCTCAAGAACCACTGGGACAGGAAGGCTGAAACTTATGTAGAAGCATCCTGGGATAGTTTAGATTCTAAATTGTAAAAATCATGACCCCCGGTGGTAAGGCGGAACCACAATAGGAAGTCCAAGTTTTACATAGAAATATATAGGAAAAATCTTTAAAAATCTTCTGCCCAAGAACCAGTGGGCCAGTAAAGATGAAAATAATATGGACGCATTCTGGGGGTAGTGAAGAATCTAAATTGTAAAAATCATGAACCCTGGGGGGTAGGGCGGGGCCACAATAGGAATTCCAAGTTTTACATAGAAATATATAGGAAAAATTATTAAAAATCTTCTTCTCAAGAACCAGTGGGCCAGTAAAGCTGAAAATAATATGGAAGCATCCTGGGGTAGTGTAAAATCTTAATTGTTCAAATCCTGACCCCCGGGGTAGGGCGGGGACTCAAGGAAATCCACGTTTTACATAGAAGTACATAGGAATAATTTTTAAAAATCTTCTTCTTAAGAACCAGTGGGCCAGGATAGCTGAAACATATGTGAAATCATCCTGGGGTAGTGTAGATTTAAAATTGGTAAAATCATGACCCCTGGGGTAGGGCGGGACCACAATAGGGAATCCGATTTTTATACAGAAATATATAGGAAATATCTTCTTCTCAAGAACCAGTGGGCCAGGAAAGCTGAAACTTAGGTGGAAGCATCCTAGGGTAGTGTAGATTCTAAATTGTAAAAATCAAGACGGGGGTGGGGGGGTGGGGGGAGGAGGGGCCACAATAAATATAAGAAGAGGGGAATTCCGGTAAAGAACTGCATCACAAAAGTTACTCAGGTGAGCGATGTGGCCCATGGGCCCCTTGTTTTTTAGAACAAATGGATCAGTTTAATCTTTTATGGGAGAGCGTATCCATACATGTAGGTGAAGAGAATTCGTAGTAGAAATTCAGGTTCAAATCATACCCCCTGGAATTATGTATAAGGGGTTCCTTCCACCGATCCCAGGCGTAGTCGTATGTTATGAATTTAATAGATACAGCTGTAATTAAAATTCCCACCAATCTTTCATTTTCTATATGATAAACGTGATGACTTTAACTTTTCTATCATCAACTTCCCTTACTTATGCAGCAATATACCTTCATCACCTGCATATGGAGTATATACATCTCAGTTGATTCGATACGCAAGAGCATGCTCTACGTATGAACAATTTCTAAAACGAGGTAAATTATTGACAAGCAAGTTGATGAAACAAGAATATCAGCAGTCTCGTTTAAAGTCATCATTTCGTAAGTTATTTTGTCGATACAATGACCTTGTCAGCAAACACAATTTATCATCGAGTCAAATTCTGACTGACTTTTTTTCATACTGATTGTTAGTCCACTATTTATACACTGAATTGACGACAGATTTTTTCATTATTTCCCGATCAAGACAAGGAGCACACAGCGGGTGTGACAGGTCGGCAGGGGATGCTCACTCCTCCATGGCACCTGAACCCGCCTTTGTTATTTGGAATGTCTGTGTTTGCTCCTCTCCCATTCTGTAATGTTTGATGCAAATTTTTAAGTCGAATACTGTTCGTTATGTAAAGTTATAGGCCAAAAACTATCCATTATGGTAGAAGAAAGAACTGTTAGAGGGCTGTTAGGCCCGAAAATAGTTCTTTTTTCTCACAGAATGGACAGTTTGAGGCCTATAACCTACTTAAAATATTTACCCTATTGTGTTCATAATGTACTCTTTTAGAACTTTTTCACATCCATTGTATTAAAGGCAGAGATTTTAAGCACTGCCTTCAAAAATACCTGGTCTGGGTAGCCCTATCGATCAAGTGCATGAAGGTCCATCATTGGAGGCTGGAACTTGATTGACAGTTACTTACTGGTCCCTGTGTATACCCTGTACACTTTGTTTGGGACTCGTGGTGACCGTCTAATTAACAGTTGATCCTTTGATGTTCACTGAACATGGTATACTTAAACTGTATTACTATGAAAATTTTTAGATTGATAATATATGAATTAAATATACCTTAAGTATTTGAAAAGATTATAATGTAAAATTCATTTCAAAATAAATTAACCTTTGGTACATAAAAAAAATATTTTCAAATGAAATTCCGATACGAATTTTAATATGCTAAATGGTAAAACCTTAAAGTGGAAATATTATTGATATAAAATTCAAAGCAGCACTGTGTGAAGTAATTAAATTTAAATTTAATGTATCCAATCATGGGTCACTCAGATAAAAAATTTACAAGCAATCTTTTTTTAGCGTGTTTCATGGTGACAAAGCCTTATTAAGGTTAGGATAAACCTCTAGTAGATAATTATTTAGTGAAATATGTAGGAAACACGGCTCCATTTTCATTTAATTAATAGATGGTATCTTAGGGATGAATTAATGAAGTTTTATTTGGTTGTTACAAGACTTCTCATCTAAAAATAATCTTTGTTTTAATTAATATTTGAATTTATAGTATGATAATAATAATTTTTAATGGGTAGGGGTGTTTTCAAACAGTCAAAAAAAAATCAATATATAATTGAAAAACCTTTTTACTACTAATTTTAAAAAATTGTCTCAAAATCCCCAACACAGGTAGATTTTGGCATCTGGGTATTTCACTGTGTATTAAATCACTTCCTGTGTATAGGGACCAGGAGAGAGATGAGCACAGGTAGACTGCTAGCCCCAAGGCATTCACACCTGTATAGAATAAGCCCCTCCCTCACCTGGAATTTACCACCCGGTAAAAAATCTCTGTCTTTGAGGGAGGGGCTTATTTTGTACAGGTGTGAATGCCTTGGGGGCTAGCAGTCTACCTCTGGTCATCTGTCTCTTAATCCCTATACACAGGAAGTG